TCCGGTCCAGAAGTAGAAACACAAACGAACTGTGAAGTGGATACATTTGATCGTCTACAAATTTCCTTGTCCTGTTCAGTGACTTGCCTAACAAGCCTGAATGTTGACTTTAAAATGTCAGATTTTTTTAAGAACCAGTGAAAGCCTCTTTTGATGTTTAACGTTCATAATGTCTCCAAAATCATTGTCTCCCAATTACACTGCCTGATGTATTTCTCTAATGTCATGGCCAATTGTTATGGCAGGAGAAGAAACCCATTTAGGAGGTCTGAGTCAAAACAAAGACCCCTTTGTCTTAAAGCCAGGTCTGTCTCCTGCATTTCTATTTTAACATACTTACTAAGACAGGGATCAAGACACTGTTTCTACTCACGATACCAACCTGCTTCCAAAGTTGGAGGCTGAATAGAATAAATATTACAGGTTGCATGTTTGCATGAAGGAATGCTAAATGAGGATGCCAGAGATCTGGATATTATTGCAGTTGCCTTTAAGCAAGCCACTCCACATGACAACCACTCATAAATGTGACTTATAACATAACATTGGGGCATTGTTTTTTTGGAACAATGCCGCTACAGTTTCACATGCACAAAAAATATATGCGTCATGGCGAACGGTTGAGTTTCATTGCCTCTGCTTGCCTCTTTCTGCTGTGTGACAAGCTTGGCACTCTGTCTCTCTAAACAATGAGTACTGACTGACTAAGATGGCATTTTATTGCATGTGATGTCATCCAGTACTCGAGCTTGCTTGGGCTCTTTATGGCTGTGATAAGAGTGGACATGTTCAGAAGAAATGTGTGAAACAGGACTCCCAGGATGAAGTAACACAGGTGTGCGCGAACGTCAGCTGATAAGCATGCAGTCTCATTAGGTCAAATATAGCCTCAGGTGAGCGTCAAAACTAGGCGTCGCAATTATCTCAGTATTAAATCAGTGATTAAAAGGTCTGGTGCTTTAGCTGACAAGTTTCAAGGCTGCAGCTTTTATGTTTTTTAAGAGGTTTGGATTGAAGTTATGTCATAAAATATGCTGCAACCCGTTCAATACTCTGGCTGAATAGATTTTGTGATGGTGAAACTTCACAAAACCCATGTGGACATCATGTAGTAAATGCTGAAAATGTGGCTTTCGTAATGTGTTTATATTTCCCTTTGTCCATAAACTGCAGCTGTCATGTTGTTCTACTCAAGCACAAATCATTTCATTGTTAATTCTGTGTATTAGCTTCAGTGGCTGATGTACAAAAGCCTACAGGCGAGCCATCTGAGAGAGGCTAGGTCATTGTCAAGATGTGGGTTCAGACTTGTGAGCTAAGAACAAAGGAATTTGAAGCTATTTAGATGAACAGATATAAGCATTAATATAAATGTATGACTTCACAATGTCATTGGCACTATGCCCCCACTGCCATGTTGTTTCATTGTCTTTCACAACTTTTTCTTTAAACTTTCTCTTTAAATAGTAAAGTAGCTGACCTAAATATGCTCATGTTGCATTAAAACTTTGCCAAAGACTTAATGTTTTGATAGTATGTTTATGGTCTGTCTGTGCTGCTCGTAAAAACTTAAAAATTGGCTTTTGAGCCTTGGGGCAAATGATTACATTTTGGTGGTGATCCAGGCCAACATTAAAAAATAAAAAATGTAGCCATAACAATAAAACTAATAAACAGAGACTTGATTCTAAAGACTTAAGAGGTAAATTTTAGTTCAAATTTAACTGATTGTGGAGGTTTTATGTGTTTAATATTTTAATACTAAGCTAGAGAAGTGTCCAGCGTTGGGATTAGATCTCTCTGGATGCCGTCTAGTTTCTAAAATGCTCAGGCCAAGCATGCCTGACATAACACATGTCAAGTAAGTATTTTCATTTTTCTGTTTCTTTCATATCAACCATTTTAAAAACTTCAAATCTTTTCTCTTTTTGATCACGATCCAGAGCGAAAACTCAATCTTATCTGAACTGAAACTTGACCAGCAGGCCGATCATGCCTTTGTGATGACATACACCAAGTGGAAAAGTACAGACCCCCTCTAGCTCCCATGCATATTCTCTCCTCCGCCGCAGCTATCACTCTCCTTTCATGCGGGCAGCCTCGGTGACATCACCCCTTGAACAAGTCTTCCAAGTCGTATTTACTGACTCTAATAAAATGGAAGATATCTAACAAGGGTGATCACCAACCAGGGCTTGTGGTGAGAAAGCATCAGGACTTTATTAACATCTTGGGAGGCAATGATATCAGCCATGAGGCCAGAACCAGCTTGTCTTTAACAGCCATCCTCAAAGATGCACATAAAGGAAGATGGCACAAATAAAGAGCTCTCAGATCAAGGCTGAGGTTTCTATTATTTGTAACGGATGTGGGCAGCGCAGTTAAACGTTACGCACAAGATGAGAGCTGTGGGGAGGGAGGGAGGACTTCCAGGGTAAACAACATAAGGAAGGTGTTACAGTAGCCTAATCTGACTTGGTTGGCAGAGGTGGGACACCTGGTTCAAATCTAATCTGACAGTGACTTTGTGAGCCAACAACTTTCCATCCTTTGTAAATGTTTACAGGCAAGATGGGGAACAAGGGCTAAAGACTAAAGAGGCAGTTTTCATACATTTTGGTAAAATTCTTGCACTTAAACATTTATTTAGGAGATTACAGTATTATTACTAAAAGTGTACCAGTCAACTTTACCAGATTTTACATGACACTGTGCAATGTGTCCGGTTCACAGTGTTTGTAGAAACTTGACCTGGCTCTAGCTCGGTACTTACTTTAATAAGTGTATTTCTCAAAACAATAATTATTCTTGTGAACGTGAAATGTGAAAGAAAATACTACAATAATTCATTCTTGATTGTGCTATATAGGGGAGATCTAACAGTAACAGAGCAGAACTAAAGCCTAATCCATTTTAAATTTTTGCGTAAAATGGATTAAGCTCTATATACCTAATGTTTTCATGTAAATATTAGACAAAAAGTTAATTTAATTTTGAATTACTGTTATGGATTTAAAAAAACTCTAAGACTAAACTATGAATCACACATTCTCAGTAACCACTCTCAGCGGGCTTGTTCCCCTTTATGACTTGCAAAAAGATATATGTGTATATGTTCTTTTACTGAAAAATAATTAAATTAAAACTAACTAAATTAAAAACGATCCACGTTTCCAAATGTTCCAGTTGAACACAACCAACATTTTGGCATACGGCAGTGTCACAGTCACACAGTGTACCCGCTGCACACATAAATTGTACACTTTTAGAGCCACTCACCCAGCAATATGAGGAAATGGCATTTTAAAGTCAGCCAAACCCCTTGAACTCCACCCATTCAGCCTTCCCTGAACACCACCCAGCCTGCGCAGAATTTATCTCTGATTTCAAGCTGCAACGCATTAAATCTCTTCCTTAGATGACTTCATCATGAAACCAGAGCTCTTTTAAAAGCGCCATTAACCATGTCCTCTCCGGGGCCACCTCTGCCACATTGGGCCCTACCGAGTGACCGTCGTCCCACCGCTGGCTGTATATACAGTAACACTGGGGACATTAGGGAATCATTTTACTGTATGGGTTGATATTTTGTGAACACACATTCCAAAAGTGTTATGTTATAAAATCCTTAAATTGACTGGGTTTTGTTGTCCGTAGCTGAACTGCTTCTGAGAGCCATTGAACCAGGTGCTGGGGTCAAATCAGAGGGCAGCAGAGTGAAGAGTGAGAGTTCCTTTTTTGGGAAAGCTTTCACCAGTGGAAGCAGATTCTCCTCTCTGCACCCTGCAAATATTTTCTCTGCTGTCTGTTCTCCTCAGTAATCCCTGCTCCCCTGACATACCCACGCCACCCCTGCCATTCCAATCAGTCAGCCCAACATGTGCTCCGTTGAACCCTTGCCATCATCAAGGAGTGGTGGTGGGGGGGTGTGGGGGGGTCATCATCTGTTTGAATGTTATTCGCCCCCTGCTCCCACACACTTGTCATGCCAGCAGTTCTGAGGTTTAAGGAGCATAGCGACAGGGCTGCTCTGTTCCATTCAGCAGAGACCTGTGTGACAACTGCTCCTTGCTGATGAGGAAAGAGGAGGCTCTGAGCTTGAGGAAAGCACTCTCACTCCTGCACAGACGCAGCTCGCATGAGCTTCTGAAGCTTGTTCTCTCTCTTCAGATTTTACCCTGGATTTTCAAAAAAACTGTCTGCTGTGACATACATTTTTTCTTTGTCTTGGAAGCCTTTGCGCTGGAACAAAGCAGAACACTTCAGGGCTGAATCTGTTCCTTTGCACTTCAAGGTAGAGGTAAGGTAGAGGCAGTGTGTGACTTTGTTTCAGCTGAGAATATTACCTCATAGAGAATAAGCTGTGGTTGAAGAGGTCTGACAGAGGTCTCTCCCTCTGACTCCATTACTCCTCGCCTCTTATCTGGGCAGATTTTCTGTTCGGGTTCAGAGGGGAAGTTTTGACAGCCAGGCTTTACAGCCCCCTCTCCGCTCTGTTCCTGACAGGCGAGGATGGAGGAGATCGGATGAGAGAAGAGAGAGAGAGAGGAGAGGTGGTGACTTCATCCCCTCTCGTAACAACCCTCCTCCTTCCCCCTCCTTTTTTGAGCTTTCTTTTTTTTCAGTTTTTTTTTTCAGTCAGGCAGCATGCCAGCAGTTTTCATCTTGCTGCGGTCCCTGGTTATCAGGCTCCTCAGTAGCAGACTGGCAGGCTCAGTGGCACAGTTCCTCAGGAGAACCCTCTCTACAGGCGCTGCCCACCTTGGCACAGCACTGCGCCACGTCTGGGACCGCATTCGATCCCAGGAGTCCAAGGAAGCCGTCCTGGGCTGTGTGCTGTGCATTCTCAACATGCACAAGAAGGTGGAGAACTGAGCTCTTCCTCCACTTTTCGTTCAGCCCTCCACTTGCCTGCTGAACAGAGACTGGACAAACAGAACTGGTGAGTGAGGAGAGTGTACAAAGGAATGTGACAGACTTTTTTTCAATGCCCATTTGGACTTCAGCATATTTTGTTTTCCTAATTGGACACCGGCAATGTCTGAAAGCATTGTGAGGAAGGTCCAGCCCTTCACCATTGGGACAAGGTTGTCAGTCCCGGCTGTGCCAAAATGCCAGGAGTTTACACAGAATTATCTGCAGAGCCAGAGTTTGGATAACTGCACTCTACAGCACAACCTGAACTCGCTCTACCTCAGTCGATCCCAGGTCTGTGCACATGGCCCCTGCCTCGTCTCACCCATCGTCAAACAGGTAGTGGAACACAAACAGCAGGACATGGCAGCCGAGGACCACCTGAACCAGAACGTTGCCTCTCCCTCTGCGGTGTCCAGATCCATCAAGAAGATCACAATCTCTGGGAGTAAAGACAGACCAGAGAACAAGGTGTCAGTGGGACCAGCACAGCTTTCAATCACAGGGTCCACATCTGAAAACAACAATAACAACAATAACGTCACCAGCACATCAGATCCACATCTACCCAGGATTGTAGGTGTGAGCTGTGAGGACAAGCCCAGTTCTCACTTCAAGGTACAGGACACACTTTACTAATACAAATCTAATAATCAAGGAAATAATAAATATCACACTCAGATTTGAGTTGTTTTAATATTGCTGTATAATTAAAAGCACTTATTAGAATAAAACCTTTTTCTTACTCAATATAATTATAAATATTTTCAAAGAGAGCCTAAGTGTAAAATGTTGTTTTAGTTACATAAAGTTTAAATGATAATTTCTTTACTTTTAACCGTTTTTAGAAAATTATTGATATCTAGAAGCAAAGAAATTGATCTCAAACTCAGCATGGAAAGTTTGTTGAATTTTTCAGCATACAGCGCGAATAATGAAGCTGCACCTGAAGAGCTCAAATGGATTTAACCGTCGATTAGTCATTAAAATATTTGGGATTCTTTAGGAATATAAAACAATATCTTTATGATATATATTGTTTGACATATTTATCCCTTCGGAATGTAAAATCTTGTAGCTGTTATCGAAACTTCGATCGAGATATTTATTTTAAGAGGTCTTGCTGAAATGTCTAAACAACAAAAAAATGTCTGCCTCAATGTTGCTTGTTATAGCTAATAATTTATGGTTTATTTCCAGCACTTACCGGCTGCTTCTTTTATCTGAATGTTTTAGGTTTTACTCAGAAAAGACAGCAGTGATGAATTTCAGCCCACGCAGGAACAAACGAGGGTGAGACTGAACGGAGACAGATCCGTCCAACAGGTAGGCTTACATTTAATATGACAACCTTAGTTTTAGAGAAAAATGACTTTCTTTGTTTTTATTCTACTAAATGGAAGTTTAATTTAAACCTATTTCAGTATCATATTCAATCCAACTTCATTCAGACTTTTAGGAAAGGTTATTTTGTTGTGAGGCAGTGGGGTCTTTATAGCCAGCTGTGGAGTTGAGGAAGTGAAGTCATGTGCTATGTTCGCCAAACTTAAATACTTTTTTATTATATTATACATTTGGAGCAAAGTTACACAGAGGTGGAAAACGAGTTATGGGAGCAACGTGTCTTTGAACGCCACACAAATACTCTGTTGTTTCCTCTTGTTCGGCTCTAATTCATTAAAGAAACAGTCTACAGGAGAAAAACAGTATATTGTAGGATATTGTTTAAAGTCAATGGGCTGTTGGATTTGGCCTGTTTCTTGTTGAAGTCATCAGTGTGTGTTGTGGATGAAGTGCTCTGTTACAGCAGACCCTGCTGAGGCAGGGCCCACTGGAAAACATGAGGTCAGGGAAGATGTTAACAAAAGAAAAGGCTTGCTGAAGTCCTCATGGTGGCTGCTTATAATAACACACTGACACAGCAATGGCCTCATTTCCCCTTTTAGGACAAAAAAAACTACAGTACTCATCTACATCCCCTCTTCTACCACAACAATACTTTGCTTTTCCTCCTCTGATATATTATTCATGCAAATGGGCAAAAATGGTTATAATTACATGTGAGAAGACGGTGGTGCCTTTACCTGTTCAGGTATGAGAGAGTGAACATGATCTACCAAAGTCCTTGAAAGGTGATGTGTTTACATGTGAGGCTGACAGTAAAAAACGTCAGACATCCGAGGATCTGTCCGCTCCTGCTTCCTTCGTGTGCCCAGATGTTTCCTGATTGGAGAGCAGCAGGGACGCTCGTCCATTAGTGAAGTTGTGCCAGTCGTGTTCATTTCATCTCACGTAGCGCTGACAGTAGGTTTTTGTTAAGAGGGGCCTTGGGGCCAGTCTGACACAAGTTTGTAATGTCTTAGTATGGGGGGAAAAAAGCTGTTTTTAACATGAATGGACACTTAAATATCCCCTCACTGTGAGGGGATTATAGCTGGAGAGCTGTACCTCCTTCTTAGAGGTTTTATCAGAGGCAAGCATTATCTGGTGTTCAGGTTTTATCGAATTAAAAAGATTCATGTTGCAGTCAAATTGGCATCATGGTTTTGTACACTTTGTTGTCCGCTCTCTCACAGATTGCAATGCCTGAATCACAGAAGAAAGAGCCTCAGAGGAAAGAAAGTCATCTACACACTCAGAATGAAGCGTCTGCAGCTGTTTCGTCCCAGAGTGACTCCTTCACTCAGCGCAACTCGCTCTTCAACAAGGAAGTGCTTCAGGTAAAATCTAGCATGCGTACAATATGATATAATATCAATATGAGCAGTTTGTCATGGTCAGTCAGGGGAGTTTGAACTCCTACGTCCTTACGTTCCTGTTTTCCCTCACATAATTGGAAAAATGATCAAATGTTTGAGGAGAGTGTGCTTTTTCCACTCCACTTTTCCAGAATGTGCAGATGGAGATGTTTTAAATCATTTTAAAAACTGAACCACAGTAAGTTAACTTATCAGAATCTCTCATCTCCTCTGATGTAATAATTCTAAATGAAAAGAAGCTGGAGTGGGATTAATCTCGAAAGCAACAAGTTACGCTGTTGAGATGAAGTCACACTGGAAGCTGCCTGTCGCATGACCCTCAGAGGAGGACAAAATATGTACTGGTTCTTATTTTGTCCCGAGAACTGTATGAGCTGTGTTCGGCTGAGGGAAGGGAGGGAGGGGAAACTGCCACAAGTGAAGCAATTATTTAGGGATGAGATCATTGTTTGGCTCCATCTCTTCACGCCTATGGCCCAGAGAGGCTCAGCCAAGCAGCACAACTGGTTGTGTTATCTCATCGCTGCGTCCACCCCGCTGTACAAGGACATTTTTCAGTGAGTTCGACTGAGGGACATTTTGTCCAGCAGTTGGCTTTGTCATCAAACCTCTGTTGAGCAAGTGTCCAAGTGATAGGCTGCTAACTTCCAGTAATAAGAAATTCATTTTGGACGTGTCAGCTGAAGGAAACACATGATGTATGTATGTGTTGAAAACAGCTCTGTAGCACGTCGTTAATGTTAACAAGCTTAGCAGCCCCTTTGCTCTTAAGTGGAGGTTGCGTATCTGTTGCTTTTGGAGGAAACAGCCTTTTGTTTTAACTTTACTGGAGAATGTACTTTAAATAGCCAGAGATTTGGGTGCCTGGGGACCTGCTTGTTTTACAGGGATTTGGTTGACTGCTATCGCTGATGAAAATGTGTTATTACAGTATTACATTGCTGTGGAAGTGGAAGTGAGTTTCCCAGGGAGAGACTTTTAAAGGCCCCCAATGTTTCAAGCTAGGAGAGCAAAGCAGGTCACCACATGGAGAAGCACGGCTTCGTTGAGGGCCATCTGTCTTCGACGCTGCTCTGCAAAACATCTCGCTTTACGCCATCTCATTTCCATGATAGAAAAAGTAGAGAAACTTTGTCTCCCCACGGTCCTTTTAGGGCCAAGTTGTGTTATTAGAGAGGCAAAAAATTTGGCTTGTTGGTAAACATTTTATGAAGTGTAAAGGTGTGCACACTCTGGCCTCGTTTTTCAGTTAAAATGCTAAAAATGGCTTCACTTGAAGCTTGTAGAAATGAAAAACAGACTGAAAAAGACTGACTGCTTCTTACAGATTAGGATCACCAAACATGGAGTTTATTTTAAAATGTGTTCTGTGTTGACTGCAGTGGTGTTTTTCTATGTGGCCGCAGATAAAAGAAATTCACAAGAAATCAGAGGCAGTGATACAATCTGAACGGCATTCATTAGCTGTCTTTTCTTCATGGCTAGACTAAGGCCTTACTGTACGTTTTGATAAACAGACAATTGTTGTGGAGAGCAGACAGGAAGAAACAAGGGAATCATAGACTTCCTGTATGAGGTCATTATAATGCCATGGGAGCCAGCGTTGAGGAGATAGGGGCAGGCCTGTTTTGTCAAGCGCTTTTCCTTCTGCTCAACAATACCTCTGCGGCACCGAGGGCCTTGTAAAGTTAATGACCTGCCTCTCTGAGGAGAAGTGACCTCACATTTTAATCTCGAGCAAAGAGTTGTTTAGAGGCTGTGTCATGTGCGGTCTTGATGTTTTATTGATTCAAAAGACGGGTTACTGTAGAGTCTATTATTCATGGCCAGTCATAGTAAATTTTCTGGGAAATTGTGCTTTGATGTGATGTTATAATGACTTATTTGTGTGCTTAACTGTTATTTGACATTCGGCAGAGTACACAAGAGCAACACTGTGAAAAGTAACGTTCTGCCATTTATCAGTTGTGTGACTCATTTAGGATCAGTCTGAGGAGTGGAAGAACCTAAGTTGATTTATTAGTCCATTCAGTTGTTGTGACTTGGGTGGGTCACTGACTTCCACACAGGGTTCCTTGCAGAAAACAAACATGTACTTTCCAACACTTTTTGACTTTGGCCACCTGGTCTGCAGTTCTCACTCCATACAGATGTTGCCAGAAAAGGCAGCTCGGCAGGACAAAGCCTCATGCAGGCTCAAGACTCCAGGCACTTGCCAAGAGAAACTTCTGCTCTGCATAACATGACATTGGAGAACAAAGGGCTGTTCTTGATGTGTCTGAGGCTCCGTATTACTCTAAGTCAGGGAAGAAAAATGCCCTCCTGATCAGGAGAAACAAGACTGCGACTACCACTTTGTTGAGAGCATCGTTACACAGCAGATATTAAATCATTTATTGTCAGATTACCTGGTGGCCATGCACTTCTCATGAGTGTACTTTGTATACATGGGCAGTGTGAGTCAAGTAACACTGTGGGTATGACATATATACAGAATTAATACTTACTAAGCCAACCTCAACCATGTTATATAAAAGAGGAATCTCGTCAAACAGCTGAATGAGGTCTATAAACAGACAGAAATGGTGTGTAAAGCACATCTTTAACATTTTTGTCTCTGTTTGTGATGTAGGCAGAGGCGTGGATTAAAGGCAAGCTGCAAGACTTAAAGGATGGATGTAATATTCAGCGCTGCCCCCTGCAGGACTGGGAGGAAGCCTCACAGACGCTTCAAAGAGACCTCAAAGACTTTGAGAACACCCTAATTCAACTAAACCAGGTAACAAAATGATTCAACACGGGACTGCACTCTAACTGAAATATTAGCAGGTTGCCAGGGCAAGCATATCAGAGCAACCCACATCCAAAAATGAAATGTTTACTTTAACTTCTTTACAGGTAATGGAGATCTGAATGTAACCATTAATCACTGTCTTCGGTGTTAAAAGAGTCTGTCAGATCACATAACACATAACATAATGGTCTCGTAGGCATTTCCAGTTGACCGGAGAGAAAAGCAGAACCTCAGTTTTCCAGACGGCTCTGTCAAGCCAGTTTATACTTTCACCCTCAGGAGAAAATGTTTGGAAATGGTACATTGCTGATAATTAACCTCCCCTGACACTCCGACGGCCCAGGAAGGGCAGAAGCAGAACTAGAATATCGGGTATATCCAAGAAATTACTGGCCGTTTTCCAACATTTGCTAAGCTGGTTGGCACATAAGAAATGACTCTGACAAACCATGAGGTGCCAAATGCACTCAGCCACTGTTCTGTGTTAGTCTGGTCGCTCCATCTGTGCTACACCTCAAACCAACAATGTCTTTATATTTCTGTCCGTTTCAAAAGATGGGTGAGCAGCTGATCTGCAAGTTGAACCCCACCTCTGATCTTGTGAAGAAGCAGCTCAGCCAGCTCAGGGACCAGTGGCAGACCCTGAAGCAGATGGCTGCAAATCAGACAAGGGCCCTGGGAGGGGCCAAGAACCTGCAGGAGTTCAACAAGAAAGTGGACAAGCTGGAGGCATGGATTAAGGAGAAGGTAAAAAAAACAACAACATTCCTCTCATTTTCTGTTGCTATGCACAGAGGGAGGGATATTTTTCCCCTTTTGTCTTCCTTTTCAGAGCCAATTTTATTGAGCTATTGAGCCTTTGCAGTTTTTAATAACTTTGGTTGTTTATCAGCGATCTGTACAGTTTGGGATTTTATTTTATTGCCGACTGCGTGACGCTAACACTTTCAACTGGTTCATTCATGTTCTCCTTTTAATTTACCACCAATCTGAAAATGGAATGAAATCAGTTCTTCGAATGACTGAGTTATTTTTATGCATCTTCATTTAAATTTCACAGAGATTATACTCCTGAGCCCTTTTCCATATTTCTGATGTTCACAAGCTCTTTGAATACTCCCCACCTTTTCCAATTTATCTAAACAGATAAGCCATCATGCTCTCTTACTGCAACAATTAACACCAAAAACAGTTGGCCCAGAGGAAAATATGAGCAGACAGCTCTAATCAACAGTTGTCTAGATAATTGGCACAAAAAACAGCCCTTGCTAATACAGGAAATTAGCTCAGTATCCTGAAGACAGCTCTTGTTTGTGTATATTCTCCGGTGTAAAACATCTGCCTGTCATTATCAAAAAGCAATCTAGTGCCTATGTTTATCTCTCTGTTCATGTCCATGTCTGGCACAAGGGAACTGGTGATTGATAATGGACTTGTGGGGAACGTAATGGAGGATGTTGCTTATGAAGTCTATAAAACATCCCTCCCCGGAGGAGACGGCATTCTCCATTTACCTCCACTCATCCTTTCCTCTGTGCATTAGTATCAAGTTCAAAGTTCCACTCCTAACGCTGAAGGCTACTTCTGTTCAGCATCTAGCTTGGTAGCAGGGCTAATGTGGTCTAATCCTGGTGCCTCTGAAAAGAAATAATGGTTGGGTTCCTAACAAATGGGGGCTATAAACACTGACTTTTATGTGTGCCAGCAGGAAGAGGAGCAGTCTCTGGTGAATGTCCTGGGGGAAAGTGTTGACAAAATGCAGCTGACCAGGAGAATTTTAGATCTGAAACAGGTGAGCATTGTAAAGGAACAAGCAGAAGGACTATTAATAATTAACAGAACGTTGATCAGAAACATTATACATGCTCAAAAAACATTCATGAGGTAAAAATATACACATTCCCATATGTTAATAGTTTATATAACAATTTTGTAGGGGTTTCACAGTCAGTTATCTAGGGGTGACTGTAATTTGTCTCCCAGGGTGCATGGTAAAGACAGCTGAGGTCATTGTTGGATTGTGTTCCCCTGTTTCGCTGCAGGATGAGCAGCTCTACAGAAACCTCCACGAGGAGATCAACCACTTGGCCCTGAAACTGGAGAAACAAGGGAAGACAGATGGCAAAAACATCTCCAGCCGGAGGAAACACATCAATAAAATGTACACGTTGTCCCTTAAGCTGAACTGATGTGCTGCATGAAACATCTTCAATATAGAGATAAATAAAATTTTAAATGAATTGACTGAATTTATGTGTACGGTCATCTGCTGTGTGTAGGTGGCTAAAGGTCCAGTCTCATCTGAAAAACTACCATGAAAATCTTCAGCTGGCACTGGAGGTGTCCTCGTTCTACCAACAGGCTGATAATACGTTGTTTGCTATCAATAACATGGTACAATTTCCCAGGCAGCTTAATTGTTTCTTTTCTACTTAGATCTGTGGTTCACATTTTCCCATATTTACTGATACATGTCTTCCCTTTCAGAGGAAAAGCATATCTGCAACCAAAGAGCTGGACAGCTTCGGAGATAGAGAAATACGTGACATCGCCAGCCAAATCATGGTAGGGAACATCTCTTCACTTAAAGCAGCGCTGTTCGATCAGATCCTGAAAGTGTGTTGCAGAAGGCTTCTCTACCTAACCTACAGGCCTGTGTGTGGTAGATGTTAGATGTGAGCGTGTCCCAGCTGTCAAATCTCCATCCCGCCCTGGCTGCCGGCGTCACACAGAAGCAGAGTGAGGTGAAGGACTGCTGGGCGCTTCTTCAGAAGGTTTTCAGGTAAGACAGCAGGCCAAGGATAGCGCCGACAACTCTGGTGGCCCTGTGAACACATGCGCCATTTCACCCAGTAATTGGTCCTCCACAGGTTTCCACTGAGCTGGAACTGTGTTTTTCTGTTATTACTCTTCTGGTACCCTACATTAAAAGTCTGAGCTGGCAAAAACCTAGAAGACGTTTTCCAAACGAAAATGAGCTTTGTATAAAGATGTTTCTCCCTCTCTTGATTAGGCTTGTTTAATTTAGGGTTGAATCAGTGAAAAATTATAAGCAAATTGAAGGGCCGGTCTGTCTGGATGTCTGGAGACCAACTACCACACAGAGCATCACTCACCACCCACTTTTTGGTTTATAATATCTAGTTTTCTGCACTGCGTTGGATTTTGGCCACGTGTTTGATTACTATAGGTGAATAATGTCTTGGCTTACAGAGTCAATTTGGCAACATACGTTCTCTTCTCGCTATTAAAATCTTTCCGTCACCTGGAGTAGCCTGCAGAATCTAAGATAAAACATGTTTACAAGAATATTTTGTAATTTTTATGGCCTTTAGTAAAACAAATTTATTGTAGCTTTAATAGCCTACAGTAAGAATCCAGACCTTTACATCATTCGTCTTTTTTTAGGCTATCAGAAGCAATATCTACTTAATGGGTACAGCCACATTTCAACGCTGTGGTACCAAACTGCAAGAATTTCTACACTGATTGTGCACTGTGGTCCATATGGAATTATTGACATTGGTTACAGCCTTACAGCATGTATAGTAAAAAATTTCATATTCTTTGCAATTATGTCCAAAACATAATGACCATCTTATGGAAAACATTATTACATTTTATGGATATCAGCTCATTTGATTCTTTGACATGTATTTCTTGTATAATTGGAAACTTTGAGGTTTTAGAGAAAATGTCAGGTAGTCATCAATCTTTGTAACATTATTTTGGAAAGTACTGTATGAATGAGATTTTTATTATTTAAAAACCATTATTATTTTAAAAACCATTAGGATCCATCATCTGGGGACCATGAATATCCATGCTGGCGAGTAGTTTTCTTAGTGTTGGACTGACGAAACATTGCAATCATTTTACTCTATCTGGGCAGAAAAGATTGAACATTTTCCATTTTCATAATACAGTCAGGAGTAGCTCACAGTTCTGACATCCATCTCTAACATCTCCAGCTTTCCAAATATTTCTCAGGCTGAGAGCCTCTCATGTCGGCGGGCTATCTTTAGATCCAAATATTACATCATCTCTTCTGTCTTATCAGCTGCGTTTCATGGCTATTTAAACCAAAAACACAAACACTGGTAGAAAACTTCAGAGCCATAATTGGAGTTCATCGCGGGGCTCTGAAACTCTGCTGTCTGCACCACAGTAACCTCCTGCTCTGCTCTCACCCTGCAGGAGTGACAGGACCACACTCTCTCCCACTGGCTCCACTTTCACCAGGGAAGATGCTGACCCCCTGACATTAGCCCGAGAACCCCAGTGCAATGTGGGAACAGAGACACAAAGGATCATGGGAAAGGAGGTGAAGGAGGAGCAGAATCGACTGAAAGGCTGCGTGGTAAGTAGCTTCGGTATGTCATTCTATTACTGGAGAAACCGCACTGTGGCTCCCGACTGGGAGAGAACAACACCATCAGTGCTGGCAGAAGATGAGCTCAGCCTCTTCCAGTCCTACGACTTCTGTGGCTGCAGAAAGTGACGCACTTTGTCCTCTGGTTTGGAAAATGCCTGATTTACAATATAAGCAGGTTTTTCCTAAATAACAGTATTTTGGGAGTCTGTCAGATGTGCTGTAGAGCAGTGGCTTCTGGTCTTGGCACCCAATGTTTTGCTGGTTTTCCATCCTACCAGCTAGTTAGTTACACTTAATAACATCCCAGTTGTGAGGAAGCCCTTGATAAGATGGTTAGGAGGAATGCCAGCTTTAAAACTGAATCACCAGTGTTGCAGAGAACAGAGAGAGAGAACAAATATGAAACATTGCTCCTGCCAGTTTTCTCTATCTCCGGACAAGAACCTCACTCTGCTAATATTATGAATATTGCCCTGTAGTCACAGGAAGAGCTTTTAGAGGTGTTATTTACCCTGGCACAAGAATTCCATAAGTTTCCATGAAAAATGTCAAGCCGTGACTGTACAACATGGTTGAACGGTGGGCCAGAGCAAATAAGCCTTTCTCTCCAACCCAAAATTTCACTTTATGGTAGAATAATATCTTGGCTTTCAACTCCTCTAACAAAAGTACACAGTCATTGGATTAAAACTGTATTACTAGATGGTCTGTGGGTCAGTCCAGGGTGAGTGGATAATCTGCGCAGCATGTGGATTCGTCAGACACGACATTCCTCATCTTGGAGGCGTACCAGCACTTTATTGAACACGTGGGTGCTCCTATAGTAACCCCTCTGCCCATAAACCTACAAGGAAATACTGTTAGCATCTTTTGGAATAGGAGGTCTCCAGAAACTTAAGTGTGTGGTATGTTAAAAACCAGTAATTATGTATATATTTAGTCTTTTAAGTTAGCACATTAAATGTCTTTACAATCCGTAAGTGAATGCACAGTGGCTATTTGTGCTCAGCCCAGAGGAATCCCACAATGCAATGCTCCTCTCCTCTGGTTGACCCTGAGCTCTTGTGAAGTCCCTAGTGAGCCTTTGGCCTCGTTTTGTGCGAAAGTGCCCATAAGCTTGAGGAGTGAGAACTTCACTCTTTCCATTCTGGTTCCATTTATTTCCCTGCTCATGTTTTCAGGCTCTTACTGGCCCTGTGGCCCCTGACACCTGTGACAGGGGTCCATCAGGCCAGTGAGCCAGGCTCAATTGCTTCTATCAACCGTCGCCGAGCTCATTGGCATGGCTGTCCTGAGCCCTTTCAATGCAGTTAGTGGCCTTTATTGGACTGGGAGCTGGGAGTTACCTGGGTGCACTGCCTATGGGAGCCCCACTCGTTAATCTTTATGGAAGGATTAATAAGACACTCCGAACAAAACCCTGGAGGCCAAAAGCCAAACTCAGCACCAGGCACAACCAGCAGTTGAACAGTAAAAGTAATTTGTCACATAGTTTCGCCGCGCTTTAACTCCAGCTCCCGGGTGTGCTGAATTGATTACAGTATTTTTAAGGGTACAAGATGCAGCTGCACAGGTCTGTGGACTTTCAGTGTATCTGCAGGAACGTGCACGCTAGCATACACACTTGTGGTCTCTCTCTCTCTGGTGCAATCTTACTCAGCTGATTAAAGGTAATTTCAATGGTTGTAGTGTCTGTATGTGTATGGGTACATGCTTTATAATCTATATGTCCATGTCTGTGTTAGCAGTGGTATGGCCTCATGTTGCTGGAGGTAAACATGGCTATCTGTTTTTCTGGCTAATTGTAGCCAGATGCTGGGGCTGCAGACCAGATGGGTTTGGTGCTAAGTGATAGTTCTTGGCTGACATCACCTCATAGCACATTGCAGAAAGACACAGAGGAAGAAGAGATCGGTAGAAGATAAGTACCCAGACAGGGAGAAGTATGCTGAAATAGGAGTTGATTGGATGATGCCTAAAAATACAGAATACTATTAAATATGACATAGCAAATCATTAAAAGGCAATTTTTTGCCATGGCCAACATAATCTTTCTTTCATATGGCATATAGTGGGATGTTGAGTGCACCAGAGGAGTTGGTTACAGTGGAAGTCTCTGTGAAGGATGAAGGACAGAAGCAAATATCTGGGGAGGAGACGTCAGTGATGGTTATCAACCCTGTCAAATGAATCACAGTAGTTTGTTAGTTCTGCAGCTTTAGCACATAAATGGGCTGATAATGTGCTTCTATGAAACTCAGGCTGGACTATAAAATGACTGGCATGTAAGTAAATGATGTTAGACCCCTTCAATTTACTGCATCTCTCGCATAATTTTGGAGGCGACACTTTTCTCCAACTCTCTGACTCACTTCTTCTATAAGCCGAGTCAGAAAATAACGTGGTTAAATTAAAGCTTCTCCATAAAACACTATTATTAATGGCTGTTTTGTGCTATTTGGCTGTCATGTAGATTCAGCATTTCTGATTTTTTAACGTGAAAGCATTGACAGATGCGTATTTGCCTTGCTGATTGTTGCAGAGACCTCACTTGTGTCAGCACTGTTTTTACTGGCATATGTAAAAGACATTATGTTATATAGAAAAATTAACACAGCATGGTCTGCATTATTCATACAGTTAGAGAGAGAAATCTCAGCATAGGAGAATGTTTTACTAAATTCACAGTTAATTTAATTATTTCATATTTATGCCAACCAGTTTTGGTAAGCAAAGCAAATAAAACCTTCTTTATTGAGCACTTTTTAAAACCTCAGTTTGTGCCTTACAGTTTTAAATTATACAGTTAGAAACAGCATAGATACATACCACAAAAGCAATGAAAACAATGATGAAATGAAATGAAAACAATATTTGAATAAATGGTTCTAAGCATTGTACATGCATTCTTGCAGTGGTTCTGTTGGATCCTGTTGCAGTACAATGTTTGAGACAGCCTTTTGCAGTGGACTGTGGTTGGTAAATAGACAAACTATCAGGATATCCCACTGTGTTCTCTGTAATAGTCCAGATACACACGGCTCTCATTGGAATCCCTGCAGCAGAGTCCTTTGGCCAACCTTTAAAGTACTCAGATGGTTGTAAAAGAGGCTTAGTGGCTGTTGACGTCTTTAATATATTTCTGCACATAGACAAGGTCTATAGCTCTGGCATTGACCTTACTAAAAACTCCACTGCATAGTTCTAAACAGAGTTGGCGTGGACGGCCATGGAAATCAGTATCTAAGGCTGAAAAAACACTGCTGCTATTTAATGAGAGTTGGGGATAGGGGATTTTAAAAAAAGGCTCATATTTCCAACTGCAATGGTTCATTTTAGTCATCAGAGTGGTATAGCACATGTTGGCAACCTTGTTAGACTTAATGTGTTCATTCATAAAGCAATTATAATTTATTTAAACTTTTGCTGCCATCTTTAGTATTTTTATTACAGACTTTGATGCTGTCACACAGAAATAGCTTGTATCTTTAGTCTGGTCTGGGTAATTTCACTGAGAATAGCCAGCCTTTGTAAGAAGGTATGCTTTGTGTCATTTAAAGGAGAGACTTTACTCTGGGCAGCTATCCATGTTGTCCGGCCTCCAGCCACATTGTAACATTCACATTAGCAATGAGCTAGAGCAACGCCTCATTGTCTAGTGACTGCTCAGTGCATAAAATCCTCCATTTGAGATGTTTATGCATCCAGTCAACATTTATTCGGTGGATGGCTGACAGGAAAAGCAAAACATTACTCACATGTCATGTTGCCGATCTTTTGGATTTTCCTACAGAGACTTTTACTTTTTTGTCCACAGAGTACAGTTGAATGTGGGATTGGTAGGAGAACACAGAGCCACCAAAGCCAGGAGCAGCAATCAGTGAACCACACCTCTTCGCCCATGGGAGACGGCCCTGTTTGCGCAAATGATGTCATCGTCAGATATCAGTTGAAGGGGGAAAGGTGACATTTCATCCTGGCTTCCCCCTCTCTCTCTCTTTTTCTCTGTGACTTACATAATGAAAGGTCTTTATGTAAGTCATAATTGGAGTCACATGTCTGTGTTTTCTTTCAGCAGGAAGCCCAGAGCAGAGCCCAAGCTTGCCACCGCCCCGCGAGGCCACCCACAGCTCCACACACAGCTCCAGAAGTTCACCGTGTCTGCTGACAAGGTGACTCGATCCCCGCCAGGCACACAATCACCTTTCCAGAGTGTCCCTACACTCTACAGAACACATGCTGAAATAAAAAGGGTTCATCTTCAAAATCCTGTGTCCTCAACCTCAGAATTCATTGCTATGAATTGTCAAGTCAGCACTGTAGTTTTTTTGTACTATTACACCCTTTCCTTATAACCAGCCACAGACATTATGTCACATTTTTAAATGAGATGAAGTTGTCATGCATTCAAGTGTGACTGTATACTGACTAGTGTGCTACTGTTCTTTCTTTTTTTTTTTCATCACAAATGTTGGGTGGGTTTAAAGGTCGAGTGAGAAACATCACCTGGATCCTGATCACTGTGCTTCCTATGTCTTTCTGCATTAAGATATTCCTCTTTAAAACTATATTTTAACCCTGTTTGCTCTCCTTTCCATCACAGACTTTGTCCTGGCTGAAGGACAATGTGTCCATGGCCACACAGGTGTGTTCAGTAGTCAGCTTTGAGGGGCTGGAGGCAGCCAGGAGGTGTCAACACGCTCTGGAACAAGAAATCCTCACCAACAGGGCCAGGATAGAGGTGGTCAAAAGAGTAAGCCAAGGCACACTGTCACATTCACAGTTTCTCTTAAAACATAAGCACAGGATGAATGCCTTGAATGAAAATATCCCCAACATTTTTAAAACTGGGCACCGTGACAGGCCTGGTTTGTGTATTCATGTAACGAGCTGATATTTCATCTGAGACAAGCTTCAGATTAAGTCTATATTTCGCAACATAAATAGTCCATAGTCGTCACGTGCTCTCATCAGCTTAACGCTTTTTCCTCAGGAGGGCCGCGGGCTGGTCCGTGCACAGCACCCGGGCAGTGCCAAGATCGAGGAGTTCCTTGGCCAGCTGGAGGTCCTTTGGGAAGAGCTGCGGAGGAGGCACCAGAGGAACGCCGTGTTTCTGCAGGCCTCAGAGGAGCTGGGTTTTAGGGTAAGATTCATAAAATATCTCACAGCAGGCACTCCTCTTGAGTCATACAAAGGCAAGTTACTTACCTCTGAAGTTATTGGGGAAATTTATGGTTATGACGGATGATTCTGGATCAGTTCTACCATTGTGAGAAGCTTTATGTTGGCCAAGAGCCTGGGCTGTTCACATACACTCATGGTTAGAAGCTCATTTACTTTCATCTTTACCACCTTAATTGGCATAGTGTGCAAGGTATATCCCCAGAAATTTATGAAGGCTAATCCAAGGGATATAAATTGCGCTGCCATATAATTCGATTATGGGATGGAAAGAGGCTGCAAATCCACCCAGATTGATGACTTAGTTGGAAAGCGTGAGTCTTTTATTGCAAAAGATGTAGGTCAGAGCATGGTCTGCTTCCATGAGGTAAACCTATTATTGTCTTCTTTGTACAGTACATCACCTCTAGTTGTTTTCACTGCACGCTAAATCACTTACAAAACCTATACATCATTAGCCTCTTTGCTTCTTTATTGTATAGGTTGTAAAAGTTCTCCAGGCCCTGGGTAGCCTCGAGGCCTGGCTGGAGTCCGTGGAGCTTTCCATGAAGGAATCTGCTCTAGCCGGTGACCCTGAAACAATGAGCATGGCTGAGAGGGAGAGCTGTCTGCTGGAGAAAGAGGTAGCAGAACGCAGCCTGGAGCTCAGCGCCCTGAGGCAGGAGGTGGACCGCCTCCACGGCCACAGTCACCCGCACACACGAGGCCTGCCAGCGCGCATGGAGGAGGTGGAAAGAAAGTGAGTTTTTCAGAGGAGGAAAGGGAGAGGTCAGGGGTATCCCCTGATGTCTATCATCATGGAAGACTGGTGTTATGGATCTGAACAATCAGACCCGGGTGGTTTCACTGTGGTCAGGAAATAAAGTAAGAATTTTGTCAGTGTTTCCAAGAGGTCGCAGGTTTCTGCTTGCCATGTCTGCTATTCAACATGGAAGAGTTTATTCATAAAAATTCCCAGTTCTTCTTTAAGACAAACAATTTAACCCCATAAACCACAAAAAAAATATATCCATAGATCTCATAAGTTGCCTTTCTTCTCCAAGTTGGCAAAACATACTCTCCATGTGCGCATTCGTTGCAATGCTCGAGTTTATTCATTAGTGATTCATGCTGCACTTAGCGAGGTCTACCCCGCAGTCCTGACATGCACTTCACCCACAGCTTGTCAGAGTGTGTCAGAGTCACCTATTCCATGTTTGCAAGATGACGCCTCTCTTGCTGGTTGGCCCTCGAAAGACTCTCAGTAAGACCTTATGGTGTTGGCCGCTTCACTGGACGTACCTATGTCAACAAACACAAGTTCAGACTCTGTAAAGAACACAGAGTTGACCAAAGAAAATAAAGAAACGGAAAGGGCTCAGTTTAAGTGTTTCCAGGGTGGGGGTGTTAGATGGGGGCAGGGATGGACACTTCTGCAGTCTGAGGAAACATTGATGCAGGTAGAGACTCTCACTAAACAGCTGTAAAACAGTTGGGATGATGTCATTATTTAGCGCTACATACAAGCAACTTAAGGCTCATTTATTCTGGAAAAAATACCCTTTGAAATGCTCCCCTTACCATCTCAAATGTAAACTCTGCACGGATTGGGTACCTTCATGCCCTGAAGTATGGGATATGTTTACGTGACACATGATATATGATTACATGAAGATTACATAATCTCAGTCTCAGTAATGTGGTTCTGCTGAAGGATGCAGATATGTATATGCGGATGTGGATTACAGTTAAGGTTCCTGCTCGTGTGTGTGTTTGTTTTCCAGGTACCATTGTGTACAAAGTGCCCTGACCCAGCAAAACTCAGAGCTGCAGGACACACGTATGCTGACTGAGTTCCTGGAGCGTGTGGAGCTGGAGGAGAGCCAGGAGCTCAGTGGCAGTCAGTACAGCCTGGGCCAGGTGAGAAGCATCCAAAAGTGGCATTTAAAGGGTAATTTCACCCAAATAAAAAAAAAAAATCCAGTGCAATGAAGGTGAATTGAGTTGAATGTACGATGCTCAAAGTATTAGAAAATTATATTCTTAAAATTCAGCAACATTGTGTCTTTGCATAAGCACTTTTTTCCATGCTAAATAATCCACCAACCTTTAGAAATCTCAGTGATGAATGTCTCAAAGCCTAAACACACAAATACACAAACTCTCTGCATGGCTAGGTACCACCAGGGGAAAATGAGAATATCTTATGTAAAGAGATCTTTTTCAATGATACTGGACCCCGTCTGATAACAACTCTCTCTCTCTGTATCTAACAGCCTCTTCACAGTGAGATTTCCTCAGCACCTACATTGCTGGGACTCCAAAGCAGTGGCGGTGGTGACCCCCTGATAGAAAGCATGGGGGACCCAGTGGAGGAGCTACGAGAGGCTGTAGAGATGCTGAATGACACTGTTCGGGAAAGAGGCCGTTCGCAGAGCCACGACCAGGCCATCCATGAGCTGCTGAGCAAGGTAAGGAAATGGAAGTTTATATTGACCTCTCCATAGGCAGCGGGTGTACATGGCTTGATAGCTTGAGTTCATTAGACGGTTGCCGCAATGTTTGTTACGTTATAAGGATCTTAGATGATGCTTAATGGTGTTTAAGTCCCCTCCACTTCTGTCACAAACAGCTGCACAAACCAATAGAGCCACATCTGGTTTCCTTTTGTCTGTGGCTGTGTACTTTAATAGGCCCCAAACGAGCCGCCACCACTCCTCGCATGAGTGTTTTTGCGTTAATTCGATTTATTCTTGGTAAAAAAAGCACATGTCAAAATAGCACATACACACACACACTGAGGGGACTCCATGACACCATTTTAAACACTAATTTGCAATGTGGCTCTCATTGGAAAACAAATAATACACAGTGAAGTGTAATGATTTAATGACATCCTACGAGTGCTCATGATGACTTTGTGCCTCTCCAGCATGCCAGCCTGGCTGTGCGTGTGGAGGAGTGCTTGTGCTGCAGCAAGGAGCTGAGCCTGGACATCCTGGAGAAAGAGACAGACATGGCCATCCAATGCGAGCCAGACCGCTGTGGCCTAGAGGCTCTGCAGGAGAAGCAGGACCACCTGGAGGTGAGAGGAAGATCCCGGCACACGCTGCAATAATGGTGTAAACATTTAAAATGATTCACTGGTGCCAATGTGATCCAGTTTTTCATCCCATTGACTTTTGGATGCTTGGTGTCATAAAAAGGGGGAAGCCCCCCTCTCTTTCCCGCACTCGCCTCCAACACATTGTTCCACAGTCTGTTTCCTGTTGTGCCAGATTTTCTCACATCTAAAAAAGGGCCAGCCCACCCCACTTTGTGCTGTGTTTAATTTATTATATAAACTGCACCTCGCAATCACACACATACACACATAGAGCGTGCAAACGTTTATTATTCAGACAGGATATTTATTTATGCTTGTGTGACTCATTGTTCTGTTAGCTCTCAAAGTGTGTGTGTTTGTGAGTAAATCTGGTGGGACGTGTATATACGCCTGGGGGTCATGGAGTTGGAGATGTGAAGTTGGGGATGGTAAAGTTCTGAATGTGAGTCATTTTTGGGCAGTGTTATGTTTATCACACGCACACACAGCTGTCTGGACTTGATAGCGTTGAAGAGCAGAAATGACCTAATCTCCCAAACTGAAATAACTGTGCCGTCAGCAGACAGGCATCCACAACTCAGTGTTCTTGAGGCTTACTGTAGCTGAGAAATGTTATGAAGTATAACTTCCAGAGAACCCTCGACGCTATTAATTACTGCCTCGTCAAAAAGAGAAAAAAAGTGGTCAAGCTTGCTCGCTTGCTATAGCGTGGCAGTCCATATGTAGACCATATGGGTGTCTCGCTGAATAATATGCATAAAGCTTTGGGGGATGAGGTCATAGTCATACAGAGATACAATTGGTACAGGCTGTCTGACTGATACCAAGGATGATGGGAGATGATGGATTTTTATTGTTATTCTCCACAGATTGACTATGAAGTCATCAGGGAGGAGGTTAAGGAGATGGAGAACCAGGCTTCTCGGCTGGAGGAGCTGTGCCCAGAAAGAGTGCACGTACTCGGGGCAAAGATCCAGGCCACGCTGCAGGGCTGGGCCGAGCTGGGGAAGAGTGTGACAGAGAACAAATCACGTCTGCAGGAGTTTATGCAGCTCCAGGACTTCTTCAGGAGCTACCTCGCGATGATGTAAGCGGGGCGTGGGGATGTTGTGACCCCTTCTTGGGCCAGACGTTCTTTCGTAATCCTCTGTGTGAGAACATCTGCCCATTACAATATCTTTTCAAGGAAAAGAACTGGATGTTCTCGTTGTCAAGCACTGGTCCCTGGCGAAATGTATAATTTAAGATGTGCTGAGGCGGTCAGCGCAAGTTTCCTGGGCCAAGTGTGACAAGGCGATGAATGTCTGTCCTATCAGGGAGTCTGGTCATTCTCAGTTTTTTTCAAATGTATGGCTTTTCTCACAGCCCTGTTTCTTGTCTCCTTTACCACCTCCTACTACCCCACCCCTGTTTCTCCAAATAGCTCATGGACAGAAGACACCAGGTCGTGTATTTTCTCCGCTACCGCCTTGCATCTTGGGAAAGATGGCCAGAAGCCACTGGCTGCAGAGCTGGACATGCAGATTGAGCAAAAGTTTGAGGAGTTTGATGAGCTGGTGGCCACGGGGAGGAACCTTTTAGACAAAGAACACCACCTCACGCAGATGGTGAGCAGGGTTACAAGCTTGTGACTCACTGCCATCCATGAATATTTTGTTGGTTGTAGGTTTTTTTTCCACCTCTTGTACAAACCCTGAGTAATGTCTTGCAGGTAAGAGAGCGCATGGAGGAACTGAGGAGTATGCTCGGGTGGATCTTGGTGCACTGGAGAGCTCAGAAACAGCAGTGGCTTCACAAGAAGAGCAGACAGGAGCTGGCACAAGATAACATTTATTCAGAAGCTACAATGTGCTCTCCGTTAACAGAGGTAAATGAGCAGAGAGGCGTTTATTGTAGGGACAGACTTTAGTCCATTGGGAAATTCTTGAAAATCATAAAATATATTTGAGCTATAAATATGACATTTCTTGGATATATTTAAAAGAAAAATCCTAAACAAAAATACACCGGAAGTAGAACTGAAGATTTTGGCACTGTGCAGCCTAAATAATAAATCATAATAATCTAAATAAACATAATCATGAATCACAAAACTGCAACAATCAAGTGGGAAAAGCAATGCCAGCACCATGCCTAATGTATGTTTCCTGATATTGGAAATAAGTTTAACACAAACATAAGAACAATACAGATTGAATACTTATTTATGAATGTGAATATATGTTGATTTTTTTCATCTCATGGCTTTCTACATAGAGTTCAGCTCCTGAGCTAGAGGCCTATCAGTCCCATCAGTCACCAGTCGTCACCTCAGATGAAGACAAATTAAAGGCAGCAGGAGGCAGCCGACCTTCATCCCTGCCGCTCGGACAGGCTGAGCAGCAGGAGGAGAAGCAATTTGAGGATAGTTATGAGGTCATGAACAGCATCGGACCACGGGGCGGCGAGGCCACCTCCTCAGAGTCTCCCAAACCCTCTATTGTGGTCCTCAAAGAGCCCAGCAGCCCCGCTTTAGGGGGCACGGTCAACCTCATTCTTAGCTTTGGTAACACAGGGGACAGCCAGGTTGAGGTGCTTGACCCACCTGCTAGGACGGACGAGGTAGTGGACGAGACCTCTGAGCCTGTCCACAGGGTGAGAAACACACTCATCCCTTCACACTAGAAGTCACCAAACACCATTATTGGATGCCACTATTGAATGATATGTTCTTGAAAGTCAGTGCAGTAACACTCATTCTCTGTAATGACACTGCATGGGATCTCCCTCCTGGGCTATCTGCTGCTGTTCATTCCTCCCTCTCCTTTTGCCTTCATATCTTCCTTTTTCCCTGTTCTCTCCCTCAGCCCACTGTGCCTCAATCCTCTGCCTGTAAAAACTTTTGGAGGCGCTGCCAGGGGCTTTTGGAAAATACTTTGGGTAGTTTAAAGCGAAAGAGAAAGATTTATCGGCAGAGTGCAAACGAGGTAAATTGCGCTGTGTGAATTGGCGCTGCATGCTGCGTCTCAAAGTGTGCTAGGACTGCATGCTGTGTGTAGTTGTTTTCTGGGGGCAGCATGCTCTACTAACCCCTGTTACAAGGTCCAGCCAGTCTGCAGCTTCCCCCGTGTTATTGCCATGTCTGTAAGCCAGGCGTAAGAGTAAAGGGGAACAATGTAAGCGCTATCATATTTGCACTCACACTATCCCCCTGACTTTCCCTGTGGCTGTAAATTTACAGTTAATGTGAGAAAAGAGAGAAAAGACAACAAACCATTTTAATGTCAAAAGTCACAATTTCCTACTTAACTGCAGTCATAAATGCAAATCCAAAACCACATAAATTCAGCTTTTTAGGGAAGTACATTCTGTTGTGATATTTAATGAGAATGGAAAAGAGAGGTGCTATTTTAACTGTAAAATATAAACATTATGAAAGAGATACAGTGATGCATCTGATCTCCAATTAGTGAACAGGATCTGTTCTGAAATGTATTATCTTTATTTTTTAACTGTCATCAGTTTGTTACTAGTTATCATAATGTATACAATGAATTTATACCAAATTTATACCAATATGTTATTTAAGTTCTAGTAAAACTGTCTGTAAAACGTTTTTGAATTGTTTAATTTTCTTAAAATGAAAGTGGCTTGATCTGGATTCAACTGGATCACACGTTGCATTCAAGGGCATTTTATTTAAAAATAGGCTGTGAATTATCTTTGCAGTATTTATATTTGAAGGAGGCCTGTAACCCATTGTACATTCCAGCCTTAGAAACTAGGAATTATCTAAGTAAGCTTGAAGCACTAAAAGCAAATGAGTATACTGGTATTTTAGATTTTCTAGAGTGAATGTGAATCTATCTTTGCAACAATTTGTCAGTAGGGATTTTGCTCTTTCAGCTTGTCTTGTGTAAATTCAGATAAATGGTTAAATTCCCAGCAGAATAGGAGACAGTGAATCAGTATGTTTAGAATCCAACTTTCCTCCGACATTAAAACCTTTCTTTGGATCGCAACTTCTTCAATGAGCCAGGATTTAAACCTGGAAAGCACTGATGACAGAGACAGAATGGGGGTGACGAGTGGGAGAAGCACACAGTCTTCTCCCTGCTGTGGCTGTTGACAGAAGCTCTCTCTTCTCCTTCTGTCATTTCACCAAGAGCCTGATGTAAACCTGGTCTTGCTTGGCTCTCAGTGGCTGTGCCGCAATTGTGTAAAATAAGTGACCTCACCCTCACTTCCTATGAAACTTGTGCTGCAAAATGGCTCCCAGCAGGAGTACGTCCCAAACTCCAATACAGGCACAGTCATTAGACAAGGAACTGGTGCTGAACTTTCAAGAAAGGCCCCCAGACTGCACACCATGATTTATAGTCTGGGGCTTCCACAGAAACAAGAGATTAGTCACAGAGTTGAAAGGTCAAGCCATTACAGCTGCATATGACGGCATGTGCAGCCACATATGATTTTGATTAAGTCCTGCAAGTGTGCAATTGCAATCATATCAATGTTCTTTTGTCCTTTTCATCACATTTTTTTGTCTTTTGTACATTTTTTTTACACATTTGCATCGCTTTGTGAGGCTTGTACATTCCTGAATCCATTGTTTTTCTCGGATGTGTGGGATGTAGAGGAAAAGTAGCTGATTGTGTTTGTAAGTTTCATCATTCATCAAGTCATCATTCATCTGTAACACATAAAACGGCTCTTGTTCTCAAAGAGGGCTGCAGGTCTCCAGCCTGCAGCACGCATGAGTCTCTCTGGGGTTATAACCATTTGCGAAAAAGTATTTACTCTCTTAATGAGCTGTCCTAATATCCTTTTCTTTTTTTTTTAGGTAAGTACCTATTTGCATGTCAAGGATAACAACTTGGCTGTGGCCCCTGTGTATGAGAGTATCACCCTGCCCCGCCAAAAGAGCCGCTCTGCAGCCTCAGCCTCCCCTACCTTCTTGCCATCCTCCTCCACCTCACCATCATCCTCAGCATCTGCATCTCAGATGGCTAATGTTACCTTCCACCCTCTAACGGGGAGTGGCGGCAGCTCCATCTTCAGCAGCCTTAAGAGAATGGGAAAGAAGAGAAAGAGGAAGAGAGATGCTCGCAGACACACTATCCAGAAAATCATGGGGGTGGAGGAGCAAACAGAAGGAACGCCTCAGTACGCCTGCGAGACGATCACATACGACACACATACATGGCCGCTGAAGGAAGGCAGAAGGAAGAAGAGCTCACCAAAGAGCGGGGATGGAGTAGAAGCTATGGCCTATATGAAGAATCCTCTGCTGAAGGACATAGATACAGAATGCTCAGGGGAATACAGCACCATTCCATATGCCGTATCAGAGGGGCCAACCACTTTGCCTGCTGCAAATCACGTGAGAAGCCACTGCAGGTTTCTCTCTTTGGGCTCTGTACTGAGCTTCGACCTACCTAAGGACATGACTCTCATCCCCAGCATTCAGGACATCATTACCATCGCCCCTCCAGAGTCCAAAAAAGGAGCTGGGACAGATCCGGACCCCCTCTCCCAGAGACACACAGCCCTGAGCTCTTTCAAACAGACTCGACCCGCTCCTCCCGCCACATGCAGTTCAGCAGATATCAGCTTTTCTGAAACGCAAACTTCGGTGGTTGTTGTGAAAGATGTGCCTGATGTGGACAAGAGCTTCCAACCACCTCATATTTCCCCAGAATTAGATGAGGATCAGACTGTACCATGTAACGACCTATCTAAAACCCAGTTTGGTCTGCATGAGGATGCAGATCAGGAGTGGGACAAAATGTCATCAGAGGATAAAACCGGTACAGCTGAAAGGGTTGGGACCAGCCAGAGTTCCCAGCTCCCTATTTATGTGAACCAAGCCCAAAGTACAGCTGATCATAAACACGGCTGCCCCAGTGTCCATACTCTTATTCGAGACTTAAATGGACACCAGTACCATAGAAGTGCAAGACCCCAGAGTGTGCATGAAGAGAGTCCTGCGACTCAGTGTCTGAACCAAGCCTCTCACATGGTGGTGAACCTGAAGTCAACAGTGAGTGTGAGTGTTCGCCAGGACTCAGTAGACTCTGGAATCTCCACCTCCAGCAGTATCAAGCTTTGCACCGATGCTCCATGTCCAGATAACCCACAGCCCAAGGGAGTGGTGGGGAGGCTCATGTCTCTTGAGGTGGGAGGTATAGACTGTACTAAAACGAGGGAGAACGCTGTAACATCATCGGGTCCATCGACAGACTCAGCAGAGTTAGAAACAGAGCCTGTCCACCTCGACCACCAGCAGTTTGAGGAAGAAGAAGAGGAACTGGAGGACATCTGGAACCAGACTACCAACTACAGACAGAGCATCTGCTCAGACATCATGTACCAGCCCAACCAGGAAGAGTCTGAGCCCTCAGACCAATCCAGAGAGCCCCGTTCCCGCTCACCTTCCCCCAAGACCCCGGCTGTGCTCTACAGAAACCTGGCCACAGCCTCAGCACCCAACCTCCTTGTGGCCGAGTTTAGACTGCCCCCCTATGTTCAGAGCTTGCTGGGTTACGACAAGGAGCAGAGTCCCAAAGGTCCCCAACCTCCACTGGCCATAGGAGACAGGAGGTCCTGGGCGGCCTTTCCTAACAGAGAACCAGCCAGCAAGGCCTCAGTGACAGTGAACGAGACAGCGTCTGATCCAATGAAGCTGCCAGATGTAGGGGACAATCAGAGATATATTTATCAATACAGGGAGGACGAGGAGGAAGAGGGTGTGGAGGAGGCAAAAATGGGGGAGGAGGTGGATGAGCACACAGGTTGTGTGAAGGTGAGGTCAGAGTTTGATATACTGTTACATCAGAACCTATGAGACTGGAGCAGCTCACCCAAATTACATACAAATAAAAAAATAAATCTAACTTTCTTACTGGTATGTAAGCATGGGGATAGTTTTGGTTTTATTTGCCCAGGTTTTGAGATTTCTTCTTCTACTATAGTATAATGGAAGCGATGGAAGTGTATTACCCAAATTAGCCAAGACGGGATGGTGGCAGAAATCCTTACAAATATCTAAAACCTGAGCAAATGAAGCCAAAACTATCAGCATGTCTAGATAACACCAGAGCAAGAGAAAGTTAGCGACTAAATGGTTTTATGTAATTTGGGTGAACTGAAACTTTAACACACCCTGCCTCATTTATTACAATTCTAATCAGTGCAATAGTAATACATTTACATGTTTATACAATATCAACAAGTATTACAATTATCATATGTTTATAATGAATACAGTCATTTTGCCCCTGTATTTGGGGTCAGTAGCTCTTATGGTGTTGATACACAACTGCATGAGCAGCTAATGTTTTGTCATCAGTGATGACTGTCAAATCTTATCATTCTGAACAGGACCAGTCAATGAGTCTACTGTCAGTTCACATGGGTTTGGATGGCGTCTGTCAGCAAAGAAAAGCCTCTCAAAGCCTGGACAACATGGAGACGCAGGAAGGATCAGTGGCCACAGGAGGGCACTGTATCACCCTGGTAAGAGTGACTGCAATCTGTTAAACTCTTTGCCTATTAGAAATATGGCTAATATAGTTTTTCTAGGAGTTTGTCTAAATGTTGGTGTTCATTTTAAACCCTCTCAGAGCGAAAAGCCTGAGCTGCAGTCTATGGAGGGAACGCTTGAGAGGAAGCACAAGCTGCAGCTAGGAGGAAAGAAGGTAAGATAGGCTCCATTCAATGTTAAAGCCAGCATGGTCAGCAAATGTAAAGGCCCACAGTCAGCAGCACACGCTCTTATCTTATTTTCACAGGCAGCCTCCCGAGGCTGGAACTCCTACCATGCTGTCCTATATCGACACACCTTGTGCTTCTACCAGGATAGAAAGGATACACTGAGGGTAAGCAGAAAAATTGCAACAAAAAGAGCCAGGGAGAACCGAACTGATAAATAATTGAACTGGTTGGTTTGAAGTCAATGATGATCAATCTGTGCTGTGCTGCAGAGCTCTGCATGTGGCCTGCCGCTGAACCTAATGGGAGCTGAGTGTTCACCTGCACCAGAGTACACCAAGAAACCCAACTGCTTTCGTCTACAGTAAGACATTCATACCCATTAAACCACAGTGATGCTGTTTTATAGATTATACACATTTAAAAGCAATGATAGATGTTTTTTGACCATTCTGGCATTTGGGATTTTAATAGTTGTCTTCTCTGGCCCTCAGGCTCCGTGATGGGTCTGAATATCTGCTGAATGCCTCCTCACGCTTTATGATGAAGAAATGGATGATGAAAATACAGGCAAACACAGGTAGACATTTTAATTTCTGAGCTAATGTGTGCTAATTCTGAACTGATGTGAAAATTATATGATTCATTTACATGTTTTTCTTCTTCCAAAAAAGGTCAGAGTGAGTCATTATCAAGTGTCCCAGTTGATCAGGACTTCCCGATTTCCATGTAAGATATGACAATTTAACATCCTCCAACTCTTGAGTATAAATACTTCTGATCCTTAACAATAACATAATAATATTTCCCTCCCACCTTCCAGAAAGCCCTCCCTCTGCCCTGGTTGTCATGGTCTTGCCAAATGCCACTGCTCCTCCCGACATGATGTCACCTCTACGTTCCCCAGGCGCAAACCGCCGGGCGCCACCCAAACCAAAGGGATTGTTGTTCTCACCAGAGAGTTCACTCACATGCCACAGAGTCATTTAAGGAGTGTGGATGAGCAGTCGACCGTCTCATCCTCAGATGGAGGCGGCTGCGGTAAGGCCTTCTGCTGTGGAGACAAAAGCTATATTTACCCGTGGAGAGTTTACTGATTGTACATCTGCTCCACATTCACACTTAACGGAAGCAACATGAGCCCCACCCTCCATTGTTGGCTACTGAATATCCCCACTGGGCTGCTGGTGGTTAGAGGATGTACTCCTTTATGGTAGTTATTGATTGAACAGGATTTGTATTAGTTTTCCCAACAATGATTTTTTTATCAACCAACTTACTTGCTTCTTTACCCTTGAGGCTACTGCTGAGTTCCAAAAGGAATCCAGGATTTAATTTACCTTAGTAGTGTCTCTGATTGCTATGATAAGTGCTCTAACCACAGAGGTGAATGGCTGTTGCAGGTGTAGTGTGTGCCACTAGGGGGAGCTAAGGTATCGCCTTACTACATATTAAACAACTGGAGTATCACAGGACTGCATAGAGGCAGCTCCTAAATGCAGTACATGTTTTACTTTTCGTTGCTCAGCTCTTCTGTTCCTCATTTCTGCATTTTAATAATTTTTTTGTCCCTCTCAAGATGATGATGAAGGCAGTTTAAAGCAGACAATGACTCACAGACTGTCTGGAGCATCCAGCATCAATACCTCCTCCTACCCTCACTCTCCTTTATCCAGCGGCCACGACTGGCTCAGCAACAAGCGTCGCTCCCACTCCTTCACATCAGGTTACTTTGCAGTATTTAACCTCTATTAACACAATGATCTATAATGTGTCTGTGAACCATAAACAGCTGTTTCTTTGTCTCCTAATGTTCTCCCTACTGTTTTTCTCTCAGCAACCTTTCAGAAGATCAAACCCATGTTGCACACCCCTGGAGGCGGAGGCCTGGAAAGAGGCTCCAACTACTGTGTGACTCTCGTAGTTGGAGACAAGTCGTCTGACAGTCGATCCGTAAGCAGAAGCTCGGATCCCCCGCTGCTGGCCTTAGCTGGATGGCAGCAGGACACATATCAGGACTCTGCTCTGAGGAGCTACGCCAGCCTGCCACGGCCACGCAACAAGTCCGTCTTCAAAAAGTTCTTCGGAAAAAGGGACCTCTGAGGGTTTTTTAAACGATTTTACCAATAAAGGGGTTTTTCAAATATTTTCTAATGTGCAGTGCACATATTTTTTGAAAAGCAAAAAAAACCCCGCTACTACTGACTATATTTATGATCGGAAGAGCTACCATGGTTTTATTTTTGATGTGTCTTATATAAATCACTTCATGGGCTGAAAAGTCTTTATAATGAGTCCATTTTCTGAGTGTTTTTTTTGTTCTTTTTCCTGTCAAGTGAAAGGAACAATACTGCGTGGGTGTGCACTGTGTAGTTGTAGATTTGATACATTGAAAAACACATTTTCTCACCAGTCTTACCAGTATTTTTTATTTCCTTTTGTCTTTTTTTGGATTGTTGTGATATTGGTTTCACGGTTGCTATAAAGTAAACCCACCTGCTCAATGGAGAAACCAACTGTAGAAAATGATAACAGTGATGACTCAGCTATGACCAAGTATTAACAATATATTGAACTCGTGACACTTACTGTACCAGATCATTACAGCTCCCCTCCTTCACATGTTCAGTGTGTGGTGCACCAAAACATTTTCTTATACTAAAATCAGCAGTTTGATACTGCTCGAGCTTGTCTGGTATTAACACTTTTTGAATACTAATTGTAGCAAAGACTATTCATAATAAAACATTAAAAACCAATGTTTTGCTTCAGTTGTGATTAATGGATGAAGATATTTATTTTTAATACAGTTGTGGTGAAAATATTATTCAACCTTTGTTGTCATCTCTGGAGGCTTTGAAAGGAAAGGGGATTAGATGAATAGAGAGAGATTAAAGGCCAGGCCAGGCTAGGAACATCTTCACATCATTAGCCTTATTTTTGCATATTAAAAACTTGCCACCATTGAACAACGGGATTCAAACAAATCCATAATCAACATTTCATGTATGCTGAGGAACCAAGCATTGTCTGCACACATTATAGCTGCATAATTAGGCGTATGCATAAAGAGATTGCAAAATGCTGTTTAGCATTACAGAATATTCAGTGATTCCCAACAAGATCTCTGAGGGACAGATTAGTTACCACAGAGATGAAAAGAAATAGGTCACTTGGTGTACATTTAATTTTTGGGGGACGATTTGGAATACACGAACAATCAAATAAGGCTAAATTCTCTTAAGAACATTTGAGTGTACATGCTTATTTGAAGTTTAAAGCAGGTGAAGTGTCAGCTGAAGTTCAAGCACGGTCTGGGTTTGAAATGTACTGAAGTGTAAGAGCCAAAAATAGCTGAAATCAGTTAAGGTGTATTTTCTGAACAGCATTAATAATTTGGTTTTTACGTTTAAGCCCTGTATGCAGTTTGTATATAAGCGCTGAAAGTAGCTGAATTGTCCTGAACGTGCCATGCAACACACCTTCAGATCACACTATACACACACTGATCTGCACAACTGTCAGCACAAGGTAGACACTTTAGTAGAGTAGCACTATCACAAATGTATACATTCCTAAAGCAAAGGAAGAAGAAGCATTGAGTTTTGGCACAACCACTGCACCACCTTTCAGTTCATATAGCACTGCCAGAAGTCACAGTGTGGTCTTGGCATGTATATACGCATACACACATACACAGAGCAGCTACAGTAGTGTATGGAATGGAAACAACTCGCACAGCTCTGCGTTTGTGGTGAAAATTTGTCAAAAGCATCCAGCAGAGGCATTAATCATGGCAGGTCAGCAATCTGTGAATCATTATTGAGACTTTATAGAGCTGAATGCTGTGTGACTCAACCTCACAGTACTGTAAAATGTACCGCACATTTGTTTAGTTCATATACAAAATCCCAGTATAAGTCTTGTCCACGAGCCACTGCAATGATCTTTTAGTGTACTTTGTGCAAGACAAGTTAATAATCCACAATGACATCCAGGAAAAAATTGACAATTCACATAGCTGCTGCATGCACATATGGCACCTATTTTCTTGACATGCATGGACTACAAACATTTGGGTTTTTCCCTCCACAATAAAGACAGTTTTTGTGAGTTTTTTCCTCTCTGTCAAGTCTGGAATGACAGCCACATCCTTTGCGGCCCACAGGGACGCAGCAATACCCCATCGATTGATCATCATGCTCCCGATCTTTGTGTCCTCTCTGTGCCCTCTGACCTCCATATCATCTGCTGACAGCTCCCACTGCTTCCTTCACAGCTCTGGGGGATTCAGCCCTTTCCCTTGCAGAGACAGTGAAGCACTGACTCTGCTTGTGTGTCACCACAATCTGGAGGCTTCCCCTCCGAGTGTGTGATTATACGGCTGGGCGATGGATACGTACACCACACAACACAACAACACCCACGTACTGCTCCACACTTTGGTTGTTGCATTTCCCGTCTAACCACTAATAACATGACACACGGTATCCTCCCAAAGGTGAGGTAAAGTCCAGGTTTTGTTTATGCAGTCAGGTGAGAAGAGTGACTCAGAAGGGTTACCACAGTCATTCAAAAGGATCCGGAGATCACAAGAAACCATCAAGGTAGTTTAACAGGAGAGGAATGTCTGTGGGCCTTGACCCCTCCCCTGCTATTGGTCCTTGTATCACTGGAAGGATACATTACTCTTTATACATCACAGATTTGTACAGCGACATGTTAATGGCTGCTCTTTTGTTTTATAGTTGAGCCATAAGATCAAAATAAGTATATATTGCTGCCAGTATTTTTGAAAAATAACAAATGCTACTCATTTTATATAATAAGAATAATAAAGAATTTATTGTCATTCCCATGCTTCTTTGAGCTTTGATCCTCAGGCTCAAAAGGTGGGCTTGCAGAGGGGTGTGCTTGTGGGCCGGACACAGGCTTTGAAACCCAACACTGTCTGCCTCCATAGCCCCAGGGAGCGCGTGAAAGTGATGTAATAGGGAGAGTGGTTTAGGAATCATCGGCGGTGGGCAGCAGGGTGGAACAGTGGTTAGGAACCGAGATCAAATGGCCTAATTTCCACAGCCTTCGGATCCCATTTGACATTAACTGCCCACCTGTCAAGACCTTAGTTATGCCCATTAGCACAATGAGGTGAATTAAAGCTCAATTACAGCTTTCTGGGAACGTCTGAAATCACATTGCCTGTGGGCCATGCAAAGCTTTGTGGCAGAAAACTGTGAGAACTCACATACCCAGTACATGCTGAGAAATTATTTTGATTTAAGGGAGTATTGCTAAGTGCTTACCATGTGCAGGCTTTGGCACTGAGAAATCTGACATCACAGATGCTAAGAAGCTTTAGCTCCACATCTTTCAGTAAATCATGCCATCATCTTGGGAAATAAACAGTGAATTGGAAGTCCGGCTTTGGGAAAGCAGGAGCAGGCTTTTGTGTATCTCCCTCATGGTCTTTGAACAATATGTCAGATTTTCATCAGCTGTGTTTGGCATTTTGGCCAAGGGCTTCTCGGACAGTATATCATAATATGTGCGCCCTCTGCAGCTGTCATTGTGCCTCCTGGGCTGGTAGCACAAAGTGCAATAACTGGAGAGAAATTTCCTCATCTAAGCGGCAGCTCCCCACCATTCACCCCACTCCCCCTCCCTCCCACCAGCAAGCTCCCTTTTGTCCTGGATTGTTGGTAAGCTCCTTGCATTTCTGTGTCCTCCATGTGTGGAGGGATAAAGGGTACGGGGTGCCACATAGACATCTGTCCCACAGATACGGTGCGAATGCATCTGTGCGATATGGATATTAATTCACTTCATATTCATTCCATCTATTCTATATGGCTTTTCACACAACACCCCTCCTGCTTAGGAAGCATCAATACATTCAAGTCCCCTGACAGTGTATCCAATTGTTACAGTCGCACAATGGTCATGTATGAACAAACTCATGGTATTTACAATGTAAAATAGCATGATGGCTACATGTCTGGACAATGTTAGCATAAAGTATAGGTTTTGAGAATGAAAATCCTCTTCATGGCTTTGAATTCTTTGCTACTAAATAAAATATTGTTGTTATGATGATTTAGAACATATCATACACTTAATGATACTGTAGATCAGAGGTTTCCAACCTTTTTTTGTCAGATGTACCCCCACACAGCCTTGACAATAAACTCAAGTATCCCAACATCAACAATATCTATTTATCCATTACTTATTAAAACTACTTATAAAATTATTTTAGCTATTTCACTATGTATACTTCTAGCTGTATGTATCTATTATTTTTAGATATATATTTAAAGAATTTATCCAAGCTAACTGTTACAACTTCTCTGCTTCACACTCTCGAGGTGTGGTGTTCAGGATGACTCATGATGTTTTTGTTTGATTTCTATTTATTTATTTTTTTCAAATGTTCTGAGCTACTCCACAATATTTCTATGCACCCCATGGCAACTGCATGTACCCCTAGCTGAGAATCACGGCTATAAATGTTATTCCCATAATAGCACAATATGAACAATATGGTTGCTAATTACATCATAACACATCAAATGCATACACACACACACCCTTTACTTGGTAAATCTGGCAAGGTTTTTGTCACTGTTACATAACCCATCTGCTACCCTGCTGCAGGGTGCTGAGGATCACCTTCCAATCAGGAGAGCCAACCCCTTCAGCTGTAATGCCTGGCTTGCCCCACCACGAACCATACCATCAAACTCTAATTGCCTGTTAGGACTGTGCCTACAATAACAATTTAACGTCATATTTCCATGTTAGTTCAAAAATACGACCATTGCAATGTTGACTTTGAAGCCAATTCAGTCACTGTTAGTGCCAGTTGATCCAGAGGTACGTCAGTGGTGGCCACACAACAGATGCTGGCGCAGCAGCATGTCTGACGCAGATCACAGCTGGCAGCTCTTTCTGCAGCCAACCTGACAGGTTACATCAGTTATACAAGCAGTATTAAAAAACAAGCCAAAAAATCCTTCCATGTATTTTCACTTTGAAATGACCTGAAGATGGTCTGGTGTTGAAACAAATATCTTTGCCAGAGGGTTTCTATTAAAAACCTTGATACAACTGCCAGACTTTTGAGCTCACGCAGAGATGAGTGAAATTCCACTTGCAGCGAGTCTATGTCTGATCTCAACTATCGAACAAACTTGAGAACCTTGAATGTTCTTGAGCTAATTTATTTTCTAAAAACAAATGCACGTTGGGCAAAAAGTATTAACGTGGCAGATTTAATTTGCAGCTGTTTGTTGACAGTCAAATAGAGCTTTACTTTCCTTTATATTTGACAACATGTCTCGTTCAAGAGCTGGAAAACCCTTCAGAGATTAACTGGATTTTTAAATGTACCACTGGAATAAATCCTTACATAAATCACTCTGAACTCTGAAAAATCCTAATTACATTGTTTTATCCTTTAATGTAATCTGACCGCAAATGGATAGAAATACCCAGGATGGAGCATAAAATCCCTGAAACCAACATGAATCACATTTATTTGTACTGCTGAACATGAAAACAAGATCAAACTTCATCTTAAGTATGAAAACATTTGTAACTGCTCCACAGTTTCTATCTTTAAATATGAGAAATGAATCCCAGAGAAACACACTCTCATTGCTGGAAGACAGTAACTGTTTATTTTTCAATTTCTCTCTACATGCTAGTGGATAAATAAACCATGAAAGGATTGGACATAGTTGCCCCGTTAAATATTGATTGATTTTCAATGAGCACATCCTCAGGTTGACAAGACAAACACAAGGGAGGCCCACATAGCAAAGAACTAAAAGAATAAACAGGGGCACTGCTTTGTCTGCACCTTTATATAAAAGAAATGCCATCGTCCTTGTGAGCAAATTAATATGATACACTAATAAATGAGAAATGCCTGCTGGATGCTCTATTAGACCAACAGCCTAATAAAAAATGAAACAGAGCAGTTTTGAGGAGTAGCAGTCTTTGACTCTGAGAGCGCGGTATTTACACACTAACTGAACAATTCCCCTGCTGTGTTCCATCTCACAATCAATTATTCACCATGCAATCCACTTTAAGGTTGTATGAGAAAAAAAGAAAAAAGAAAAGTGTACATAAATACATGCATGTGACATACTAACTCCTCCAGCAGTTCAGTATGCCCTTCAAGTTAGGTCACAACCCTGTTATAGTCTGGCTGTGTGTACTACTATATGCACTGACACAAATAAAACTTGTTGTCAGCACAAAAATACACACAGACTGCAGGGCTTTCCCCTTTTAGTGGCTCTGAATCTCCAATTTAGGTTGTGTGTTTGAGACAATTTTGTAGTGCTGCTAAGATTTCTTGCAGAATGGCATTTCGGTTTTCCTTTGACACCTAAGTGAGAAAAGAAATAAGCACAAAAAAAACCATTAATGATGGCAAGTTAGTCGTCTGCACATAATGTAAAATTATACAACCTAAGCTGTCAAAGATAAATAACATGAGAACTGTGACAAATGTCCTGTAGGAACTAAGCCTCAGATAATACAGTATCCACTCTGAGACCAACATGTTATAAAGACCTAAGGTCTGACCTACTGTCTTATAAGTAAAATTACAAATCATATGTTTGCCAGAAATGTTAACACTGCCTCATAACCTTGTTTGATATAATAACAACTCCGGCATAGCGAGTATTTTGCATGACAATATCCATAACTGAGTCTTCCGTGATAAATTATTTTGACATTTGAGACCACCCTTTGTTGTTGAATCAGTCACGCATGATTTAGAGTTAATCCGAGAGGGATAATGCAGGGCATGCCCCTTCTGCGTTAGAGAGCAGACTGTTCGCCTAAGACCAAGTGGATACAGCGTAAACAGTCTCCTATAGCTTTTGTGAGATTTAAAAGCTCCTAAACTGACCTAAATATCCCCTTTTCTACTTAGAAAGCCAGCTAGTGTTTTTGCTCACCGTGAAGAGCTTGACATCTCTCCTGCTCCGCACCTCTTCCACAAGACCCAGTGGTTTCCCCTTGGGGATGGGGATGGTGCCCAGGATGGTGCAGGAAGAGCTGTCTAAAGTCTGTCTCACTGACCTGATGAACGACTGGCTGAAGAGCTCCATTTTGCCAATCTCGTCAATGACAAACACCTTCCTGCAGCCCCCATCTGCTGACCCCACCTGGAGACGGCGGATGTTAGCGTTAAGCAAGAGCACTGTCAATGCATGCACAAATGTATGCTTGGTGTTAATTAAGTTTTAAAAATAAAGGGAAACTAGCTCAGTTTAGACATTTATTGATAAAAATATGAAACCGGTTTCATTGATGGACATGTGACCTGCCTGACATGTGGGAAAAGCTCATCATCTTAATGGCTCATGTTATGTCAATCCCATTTACTGATAGCATGCCTGCTACAGTGTTTGCATGCTACATGCAATGGGTGATCTGCAGTGATTACAGAGACGCTTTAAGTGAGATGAAAGTGGAGTATGCGCCGCATAGGCATAGACACCTTCCTTTACAGCACATGTGTAGGCGTCACTCTAGGCTCACTTTACATGCCGAATTAATCACGGTCAGTGACAGCCAGACGGCACCACCAACACTAAAAATGTCACTCTGGAATTTATATGTTTGCAAGCTTCCAATTATTCCATCAATTCTGAGAAAATCAAAGGTTTGATGGTTTGTTAAGTGGGGGAGAAAAGGGAGTGTTTAGCTTACTGTGATCTATTGATGAGTTTTAAAACACATGTGCTGCCTTCTTACATTTCTGAAGAGGGGGAGAGCCAGGTTTTCAAATGAAGGCAAGTCAACCACATACTGCCCGACTGTGTATTCCCGTCTGCCACGAGATGAACCGGGAACGTCTCTGGAAGGTAAAGCAAGACGAAGGTTACTGAAAACAGCACGATGAAAGAGAGTTTGATTTAGAGAGGATGACAACCCTGCTACCTGATTCTGGACAGGTGGCCCCTCTGTCCTGTCACTGTGACTACATCAAAGCCGACTCTCCGGCCTCCCTCCCTGACCTCCTCTGTGTAAAACCCTTCAACTCCCACTCCTGATGACACCAAAGCCTCACAGGCTTTCTGCACCAGGGTGGTTTTGCCCACACCTGTAAGCAAAACAAGAGACTTTGTAAGACAATTGCAATATCACAATTCAAAACTGGGTTGCAGAGACTTACTGTAAAATGTTAGGACGTGTGTAATCCATGCATTAGTGATGTTGGCACCCTCATTCCTTAAGTCTATTAAATGTATATGACATTAAACCAATATAATAGGAAGATGACTAAAAAAAACGTTCAAAATAGTATTTGAATGGAGTTGTTTGTCTGAAAGTCTCTGTAATCTGTTTAAGGGCTTAAAGAAAAAGCATAAATATATAGTTAACCATAAAATGTTACCACTATAATTCGATATTATCAGAACAAAAATAGCTAAAACAGGCTAACCTTCCTAAGAATCAACGTTAACATTTACTGAGTTAAGACAGCTGACTGACTGGTGTGCATTTACATGGACCTTTACTTGCAGCAGCGGACACACTGGGCGTTAGGTGTTACCTGGAGGTCCGGTCACAAAAACGTGTCTGTACATTTCACTTTACTCCACTTCCGTACACAGCGAGTCGACGCATGCGCGGTAGCTACTAGACTCCAGAGCTCCACTTAGTAAAAGACAGAATATTATATATTATATATATATTATTGAGTTTTTGTTTATTTAACGAGCAAATTCAACGTCAGTGGAAAGTGTCAAACGCTAGTTAAACGGGGTCTGAGAGTCAGCTATGAAAATCATGTACGTTGTTTAGTGTGAAGTATTTATATGCTTTACTTTACTAATACTACTGTGTACAAATAATCCAAAGTCCAGCATTTTAAAACTGCAATCAAAACTCAAATACTTAAATCTGCTTTTAATCTGTGATCTATCAGCCCTCACCTTCTCTCCTTTTTATCGTTCACCTGTTTTTCTTCTCCTATTTATAGTTGTTTTTTTACTGATATTGCCTTTGCTGTTTCTGTTATTGTCTTTTGTAACCATGTAAAGTGCCTTTGAGTACCTTTAAAAACGCTATATAAAATAAATGTCATATTATTAGTAGTAGTAGTAATAATAGTAGTAGTAGTGTTTCACATTATGTTATTGGACTAGTAGTGCTTATAGTGCATAATGTGTGCAAAGGTGTAGCAGATTGGTTGAGGAACTTGTCTAATGTGTATTTTTGTGTACATATCTGCATTGCTTTTGTATAACAATGCTGTTCAGTGCTTAATGTAGACTGTACTAAATCTTAATCTGAAAAGTATCAGAGCTGTCAGATAAATGTAGAAGAGTAAAACACACAGTAGTTCAGTATAATTATAAAGTAGCATACAATTGAAATACCAGTACTAATATTGAACTACCTTAGAGTTCTACTTAATTACATTACTTGAGTTAATATACTTAATAATAATATTAATAAAACTGCAAATAACTTAGGTTCAGTTGTCCCACTGCAACTGCCAGTTTTAAAATAAACAAACTACCGGTCTCTGCTTTGCTTATCAAATGATATCAAGGGGAAAATGCAAAGTAGTGGGTGGTATTTAAAGGAAATGAAATCCGGAGCTACCCAACAAGCTCTGGGAGATTTTCAGCCTGTGACAACTCTACGGGAAACGACAGCTTAAAGGTTAAATGATTTGCATAAATGGTGTGCATAGAGGTATTTCTCATCCTCTTATATGTTACTAAAAGACTTGTGGTCCAACACTTTATGCAAATGTCCAACAGTCTGGTATTAACTGAGTGATTAAGGCATAAAATGATCACATCATTTCCACAGAAAAGCTTGTCTTTATTGAAAAAGGTTGTCAGACATCATAACTGAAATGAAAACGGACACAAATACACATTTAAAAATGTACACTACATCTGTTTTATGTAACCATAATGTGGAACTGTATATTGTTTCTTTACATAGTGTAACCAGGGAGTTTGTTGGCCACTAGATTAGAGATATGCTGATACTCCTTTCTAAAATCTAGAGACCCAAGCTCATCCTCCAGCTCCTCTGCCTCCTGCGGTTCAAAGGAGGATATCGATTCTGCAGAAACCCCTCGAACCGGGCCGCTGTTCTTGGACGACTCGCTCCTTTGACCTCTCGATGATATTAAACTGTCAGCGCCGGAGCTCCTCTCTACTCTCCCGCTCCCCGTCATCTGTCTCCTGGAGCATACGGTTTGTAAGGAAGCAGACCAGTCTCTGTCACCATCATCGGAGGAAAAGCTGAGGGCCGAGGCGTGGGTTCGAGGCCGGACGATGTGTGTGCCCCTCAGGGATCGCTGTGGAGAGCTGGGGGCTTTGACAGGCACGGGGAGGACCGCTCTCCTCCGGAAACCTTCAGAGCCAGAGTCCGAGTTGCAGAAGTCGGGGCGGACGGGGGACCTGGGAGTCTTGGCTCTGCAGGGCTCGGGGCTACTCGCGGGGTCAGGGGAGTAGGCATCACTGGGCTCCAGACTGTTAAAGTCGTCAGCGTAGTCTGCCTCCTCGTTCCCTTCCCCGCTGGAGTCTGAAAATGAAGATTTCGGGCTGCTGCGTCTGCTGCTTCCTGAAGATTCATTTTTCCCCCCGTGCCTGTCAGACTGTGATTGATCTGATTCACTGCGACGCTCGCTCTTGTCTTTGTTTTGGGCTACATCCACACTGGGGATGTGAATACATTTCAGGCCTCTTTCAGAAGGGGAAGGCTTCTCCGAGTGTCTGTTGTTGTCTTGTTCGCCAGGAACTTCCCCGTGCAGGTTTTTCTGCTTTAGTCTGATTGTTTCTTGTAGTGCAGAGTCCACTGTGATGCTTTGTATCACTGTCTCAATGTTTTCATTCAGGCTGGAGCTCTGGTTTAACGCTGATTTTCTTTTACTGGACTTCTTATGACCTGACTTTGTCTTTCCTTTGGCCGCCGTTGACTGTGTTTGATTCTGGATTAATGCCACGCATTCACGGTGTTTTACTTTAAGAGGAGATATTTGCTTCAGCCTTAGATTAAACGTTTTAGTTGTCCCGTATACGAGCTTCTTCCTTTGAGATGCAGCAGACCGTTCGCTCTCAATCAAACCCTCTTCTTGTTTGTCTTTCACTTTTACAGATGCTGGCCTGACCACTGGTGTAGAACAGTATCTGGGGGAATGTAAACGCTTTAAATGGTCACTAGTCCCCAGTCTGGTTTTCTGTGCTGATTTGGTTTGCGTGTTTCGTGTTGTGTTTCCGTGCCCGTCTGAAGGCTCTGTGGAAGCAGGCCTGTAAATCCAAGCTAGATTGGGATGAATAGACAAGGGCTGGTGTGGGTTCTGGTTATTTAACTGCGACAGCTCAACAAGAAGAGCATTCAGTAGAGGCAACTGTTGTAAAGCTTCCCCGAGGACACCCGGAGTCGCCCCACTTGTTTCCTGGTTTCTTGACGTTTTTACACCCTGTCCCACTCTCTGGTCCATCATTAGGGAACTTTCCATTTTATTTTCAGCTGTCTCGTCCTCCGAGAACGTGTCTTCAAATGTAAAAGCCTCGGAGTCTAGATTCAGGAATTTGCAATTATCGCTTTCATTCGTGCTTTTTTCCTCCGCAGAATTACTGTAGAAGAGATGTGGCGGGCAATATATGGTTAAATCTTCTTCAAAACTGTTTTCTTTCAGTGCCTGAGGCATTGGACGTCTTCCCTTGTGTTCAGTCTGCATGGCAACACAAACACCACGGTCCTGTTTATCCTCGTTTATTAAAGTAACCTCATTTGGTGGCTCTTTGTTTTGGATGTCCTGGCTAACGTCAGACTCGTCCGGTGTGGGTGAACACACATTCCCACAGTCAGGAGGCAATAATTCTGCAGACACGTTTTTCTCTGGGATGCTTTCCTGTTCACGCTGCTCTCCGTGTGCACTGGTGCTTTCAAGACCCCCCCTGTGGGGAACATGTGGCAGCAAACTAACTCCCAGACTTAGAAGTTTATAACTCAAGGAAACAGATCCGACTTTCTCCCCCGTGAGGTTGCATATAGCAACAAGCCCCCTTTCACCATGAGAGGATGGAGCAGAAGCGCCGCGTTCAGTCACATCCTGCCTGATCCTGGCCATCACCTTAGCCAGTGAGATGAGTGAGGTCCCGACTAATCTGGGGATCTCCTCTTTCACATCCAGCACCAGAGCATAGAGAGGGCTGTTAGACAGCTGGGTGTGCAGCGAGTTCAGGTTCATTTTGAAGAAACAGGACTTGCCCCTGTTGAAGGCGTACTCTCCCTGCTGGTGAGCGCCACCTCGGCCCCGCTGAGGCTGATAAATGAGCAACGTTGGAAAGTCCAGCAGCCGTACACCGAGAGCCAGCTCGTCGGAGGCTTTACTTTCTACCTCGATTCGGATATTCTGCACAAAAAGCTCGAATGAAAACAGAGTCTCGATTTGCCGTGCTGCCATCCTGAGAGCCGCGTGACCTTTAAAAACAACAACAACAACAACAACAACAACAAAAACGAGATAACTCATTTAGCTGTCAGCTAATCCGCCAACTTCAGCTTCTGTCGGCTCCATGGAAACAAACAGCTGTCGCGAGAATTTTGCGTCGGATAGCGCCACGGGATACCTGGGAAATGTAGTTTCAGGTGGGGGAGCCTTTACGAATAGCGGCGCTCTAAAACCATGAAAAATATAAATAAAAATGTGAACTATGTTGCTTATGTTTCTGTTTTGTTTTTTTAAAAAAAAGAAGGTTTTGTCCGTATTTTGTAAATGCAGAATTGTAAAATTGTGGACGTCTGTTTCCTAATTAAAAGGAAGGGAAAGAATAAATACATATAAGTGCAGAATAACATCTTCACAAGAAAGCACACATTACAAGCACGGCTCAAATGGAGATGAAGATGATCATTTATTCAGGAACAGTTTGAGGGGAGCAACTTTTCCACAGTTCACCAGATGGTGCCACTGTAGGGCTTATCGGGCTTATACACTAAAATAGTCCTGTGGTGAATGGCAACAAGGCCACCGGACCTAGTTTACATAGCGCACTCATTGTTCACATTCAGCCTGTACTTTGACATTAGTCCGTTGTAATATCCTTTCAATATCCACCCTGCAAAGCTATGATAACAGTAATTAGTCCGAGTGGACAGAGTTTCTACAGCGTCGGGTGGGCGGAGTCTCCCCCCTCTCCCCCCTCTCCCTGCGTGTTGTCATCACGGAGATAGGTGCTGGATGGATATCGCTGCGGTCTGTGCCACTTCAGTCTGGAGGCTGACTGACAGAGAGAGAGAGAGAGAGAGAGAGATGTGAGACCGACCGCGGCAGCTTCAACTGGCTCTTTTTTTACCCTTTAAGGATAACCGACAGCGTTAACAACCCCACAGCCTTGGACAGGGTCGACGCACACATTTAAAGGTAAGACCCAAACGTCCTTTTTCTCTCTCTCCCCTCTCCCTCCGAGCCGACTAACAAAGTAAGAAAAAGTAGGGCTGTCGCTGAAAGTAAAGCCGCGCTGCACGCAGGGAGAGTGGCGGAAGGCGTAGGAACTCACCGGCATATCGATGGTGATAGTGAACACAAAGGATAAAGTTACTCTGAGGCTCCGGAGCGGATGGAATCTGAGAGGCAAACATAAAAGAACCGAGGGGGTATGATGTTTCAGCAGTCGCCTATCTATAGCCCATATTTGTGCCTGTTCATGAAGTGTATGGTGCGAGATATGGTGCTGTTGACTTGTTTTTGTTTGTTTATTTACTCAGGAGCGTGTTAGTCTCACATAAAGACCTAATGCAAAATACATCCCCGAAGGTAGAATTTATTCCATCACTCTGATTTGTAATTTATATATTTATTGTTAATGATATTACACGTTGACGTCATAATTTTTGGTGGTTAATGGTGGTGTGTGTGTGTGCGTGTTTGGTTTGGGGGGGTGGGG